GACAAGGTTTTGTCATCATCAGGAAAAAAACCTTATCGAAACGTTGTACATTTGCTGTTATGTTAAACTTGTATTAAAGTTTTTCTTCATTGCCCATTCAAGCCGTCTCCAAGCATTATAGTTATCATCATTGCCAACTATGGGGACAGAATTGATATACCTCCTGGTGCTGTACTGGAAAACAAGATAGTGTCTGGTAACCTTCGAATCTTGGATCATTGAGAGAAAAAAGCCAGCTTTAAGCTCGAAAAAACCAGACAGATATTATCATATTTAACTTGCTGGTCACCTTATACCTGAGATTTTTGTTGACAGAAAGTGGTTAAATAGATTGAACATTCTAACTTTAATATAAATTATGTAGTTGGTAATTTTTTACACGTTGGACATTGTGTACTGGCAAGAAGGACCAAGGCTGAGGCAAAGCAGCAAGTGCCTACTTAAAGAATGATATGAATATAAATCATAACAAAACTTATAGTTTAAGAATAATACAGTAAATAAGTGTTTAAGGATGAACTAGGACCGGAAATTGATTAAATAAATGCGATGTTACAGTTAAAACTGAACGAACCCATTACAGGGCAGGGATCAAAGGATCCAATAATCGGGGTGAGAATTTAGTTGTGGGAGAAAACCGGGAGAACCCCGAGAAAAATCCACTTTCACGGCCAAGGCGCCGAATTATTATTTAAAACAACAAATGCTATTAGCTACTTATAAATCAAAGTAACTAACGCCCTCTTTATTTTATTTATTTTCATAAGGTACTTTCCTTAATCGATAATTTACTTTCTATTAGGTCGTCAAGAAATTAATGTCGCGTTTTGGAACAATTTCATTAACCCTTCACCACAAAAAAAACTTACATCACTTGTAATAGTTAAACGAACTGCCTAAACGTCACGTTAGTGTAGCCCATATAATGTGTAAAGTTTGATATACTCTAATCCCTTATAGTGATGACACACATGCTGTTTGAATACAAGAAGGGAAGCAACGCCTCTGTAGCCATAAAGAATATCAAAGAAGTTTATGGAAATGTTTTGAACGTTCGTAAGTGTCAACGATGGTTCAGCAAATTTCGTTCAAGTGACTTTAGCTTTAAAAACTGTGATGTCAGGGGCCGACATGTTGGAATTGATATTGATCTGAAGACGCTTGTTGAGTCTAACCCAAGGCAACACACTCGTGAAATGGCCCTGAAATTGCATGTCTCTCATGAAACAATACTTAAACATCTGAGGAATATGGGAAAACCCCACAAAGAAGGTGTCTCACGAACTCTCCGATGATCATCGTTTCCAACGTGTGAACATTGCTTCGTCTCTTCTGGCGCGTAATGCGCGTGAACCATTTTTGGAGATAATTGTCACCTGTGATGAAAAATGGATTCTGTATGCGAATATTAAACGCCAAAAACAATGGCTCAGTCCTAGACAAAACTACCTCCGAACCCAAAACCTGGACTCCATCCGCAGAAAGTGATGTTTTGTATTTGGTTGGACATCAAAGGAGTAATTCATTTCAAACTCCTCAATCCACAGCGAACTGTCAATGCAGAGATCTACAGTCAGCAACTGGCACGTTTAAATCATGCCATTCATCAGAAACGCCCTTCACTCGTCAATCGCAAAGGTGTTCTTCTACTCCACGACAATGCACGTCCACATTTGACGTCACACAAGATTATGAAGTTGGGTTAGGAAGCTCTTCCCCACCACCATA